ATGTCTTCATTTCAGTGGAATATATATATATATATATATATATATATTTACTGTTCCTACAGCTCCCTGTATCCAATTAAATACATGCATGTCCCCAGCAAATAATCAATTATGGATCCACCACTTCCATGTTATTCTCATGGTTAAATTACTCATGTTCAAAATGAGAATCAACCATGTTGTTCTACCAGCTTTCCTTTCCATAAATTTCCTTTCCATAGACTGTTCTTGCTGCCACTTACTGGCCAGTCTGGCTATACTCTTTCAATCTCCCATTCCTCTCTTCTGTCTTCAATCCATTCCCTATTCCTTCTTCTCCAATGAAATGTTTCCTATCACCTATGTGATCTTCTAACCTGTCTTCCTTTAGTCTACCACTTTTATTTACTCCCCCTTTTCTTTTCCTAATTATCTCCTTTTTTATTTCTAAAACCATAGATTAGTTTTGCCTCTTGAACTGTCTATAAATAAAAAGTAGTATATTATTTTTTTCCAGTTTTTTCTTCCAGTATTATTCTTGAATGGCTCATTCATATTTCATGTTTCATCAATCATTTAGCTATCTATCTATCATCTATCTATCTATTCCATTGTTTGAGTGAACCACAGTTTATCCATCTTTCTTGTGTTAACATTTGGATTATTTTCAGGTTTTGGATAGTTCTAAACAGATTGCTATGCACATTATGTACAAGTTTCTGTGCACATATGTTTACTTTTCTCTTGGCTATATATTAAGAGTAGAAATGCTAGGTCATAAGATGTTGGCATGTTCACATTTAGTAAATACTTTCAACACTTTTTCACATTGGTTGAACCAATTTACATTCCCACTAGCAATATATGAGAGTTTTTGCTATTTGTGGTCAATTTGGTGGGTGTGCAATGGTATTTTTTGAAGTTTTAATTTTTTATTTCCTCAATTAATTATGAGTTGTGTATATTTTCACATCTTTTAAAGCTTATTCTAAAGCAGATTTAATTTATGCAGCAAAATTACTTATAAGTGGTGAATTGTAGATAAGTCTTTATCATTGCCCTTTAGCACTATAGGCAAGAGCAAACTACTCCTTGCTATAGTGTGGTATAGGGCAATCATCAACCTTCAGAATGTCTCAAGTTTTCTCAGCAATCTACACTAATAAAAGAGAAACATGGTAATTGGCGTACGACCTCTACCCTTCCCATTCGCTAATCAGTGAGATATGCAAATTAACTATCAGCCAAGATGGCGGCCGGCAGCCAGGCAGCTTGAAACTAACATGAGGCTTGCTTCCTTCAGTGACAGAGGAACCCAACCTTCCCTGCCTGTGGCTGCAGGTCTCCGAGCTGGCAGTTTAAGAAACATTGTAACGAATCCCGCCGGACTTCAGCCAGCAGAATCGCAACATTGTAAGCAAAGGCCAGAAACCTACTTTCAGCAGCGGAGGCCTAAGAGCTGGAGCCAAGCCTCAAGCTAAAGCTGGCCCAGAATAAAAAAAATAAATAAATAAATAAAAAAGGAAAAAAGAAGCAGTTGGGAGCTTCAGTCCCAGCCTGAAAACAGACCTCAGCCCCTCACCCAGACTGGCCAGGCACCCCAGTGGGGACCCCCACCCTGAAGGGTGGGTGACCAGCTGCAAACAGCCATCATCCCCTCACCCAGGCTGGCCAGGCACCCCAGTGTTGACCCTCACCCTGATCCAGGACACCCTTCAGGGCAAACCAGCCAGCCCCTACCTGTGCACCAGGCCTTTATCATATATAGTAAAAGGTAATATGCCTCCCAGCACCGGGATCAGCGTGACAGGGGGCAGCGCCCAAACCCCCTGATCGCCCTGCAGCTCTGTGTGTGACAGAGGGTGGGACCCCAACCCCCCTCCCCCCCCACGGGCCCTGCTCTGTGTGTGACGGGGTAGAGTCATAACCTCCCCATCTGCCCTGCCCTGAGTGTGACAGTGGTGGCAGCCAACCCCCTGATCAGCCCTGCTCTGGGGGTGATAGAGGGCGGCACCCCAACCCCCTGATCCGCCCTGCCCTGAGTGTGACAGGCGGTGGTGACCCAACTCCCCACGGGCCCTACTCTGTGAGTGACAGGGGGGGGCTCCTCAACTCCCTGACCGGCCCTGCTCTGTGCATGATGGGGGAGCTCCCCAAACCCCTGATTGACCCTGCTCTGTGCATGACAGGGGGCGGCACCCCAACTCCCCAATCGGCCCTGCTCTGAGCCCGACCAGGGGCTGCACCTAGGGATTGGTCCTGCCCTCTGCCACTTGGGAGCAGGCCTAAGCCAGCAGGCTGTTATCTCCCGCGGGGTCCCAGGCCGGGCTGAGGGACCCCCCCCCCTTCCCCCGAGTGCACACATTTTTGTGCACCGGACCTCTAGTATAGTTATAAAAAGAAAGAGGTTCAAGATTTTAGATTTAAAATTACATTTAATTAAGTCTCACAAAGTTAGTCAAGAAATAATCTATTTAAGTCAAATCAAATCATTTATATCTACTAGAGCAGGGGATCTCAAAACAGGGGGCCAGTTCACTGTCCCTCAGACCATTGGAGGGCCAGACTATAGTTTAAAAAAAACAACAAACTATGAACAAATTCCTATGCACACTGCACATACCTTATTTTGAAGTAAAAAAACAAAACGGGAACAAATACACTATTTGTATTTGCATGTAGCCCGCGGGCCGTAGTTTGAGGACCCCTGTATTAGAGAATGTAGTTTCTCTGCTACTGTGATATTATCTCCATATCATCATTTCTTATACTCTCCAGTTCCCAAACTCTCCTTCCCCAATATCTGCCCCATGGAAATCACCTGGGCCTCATCTCAGATTTATGAATTAGAATCTAGGGGTGGGTGGTGGTGGGACATAGGGAAAGGCACTGAAATCTGTGCTTACTACAAATAAGTCTTCTATATGATTCTGATGAAATACCATTTTGTAAACTTCTGAAAAAAGCAAATTATATGAAGATTTGGAAAGATACATTAGGCAACTTCTGTGTTCCAAAAGACAGCTGACCCAAGAAATGTAAAGCAACTGGGGGAGTTTTAAAAGAGTTCTTTCTAAATAAGAGTTATCTAGAAATCTGACCAATGATTGTTCTTTAGAGAATTTTGCATGAATTGGAGACAGTACTAGATGATCATATAGGTTGTTGCTAATACATTCTTCTTAAATGCAAACAGAATGCATGTTGTGTACAAATAAACAGATTTAACTTTTAGATCTCCAATTCTTTCACTTTTGAATATATAACTCTTCTTTTTTTTTAATATATTTTATTGATTTTTTTACAGAGAGGAAGGGAGAGGGATAGAGAGTTAGAAACATCGATGAGAGAGGAACATCGATCAGCTGCCTCCTGCACACTCCCCACTGGAGATGTGCCTGCAACCCAGGTACATGCCCTTGACCGGAATCGAACCTGGGACCTTTCAGTCTGCAGGCCAACGCTCTCTCCACTGAGCCAAACCGGTTTCGGCAACTCTTCTTGAGTATAGCTAAAACTCATGTTAAGTATAGACTCTTGTAAGCATTGAATATCAATCTGGGTACTTGGCATAATGCAACAGAAAGCATGAGATTGCATGAGATAAATTTCCATAAATATGAAGCAAGTCTGTCAATAAATTTAATTTCTGTCTGTTTAATAAAGGGCTAAATAAATATATAAACATGAGAATAATAAATTATGTTTTAATTGGTCTCATCTACTATAATTGTCTTTGAGTAGGTTAAAGTTTGTAAATTGTGATTTTTATCTCAGCTAATCTCATTTAACATTGCTTCACATTTAGATAGCTAAAAGGAAATTGCTGCTTCCAAGTCCAAACTCTGGTATCAATTTAATCATTTACTTTGCTTAATATTATTTGTATTTTGAATGTCAACATTTTGAATGTTGTAAATTATAATATATTCATAAACATACATGTAGACATGTCTGCTTTTCAAAAGACAGAGGCTGAATGTCCAATTACAGAATTAGTGTGGCTACCACACTAAATGATCTTTGTTTTTATTACTCATGATCAGGAGGTATAAAAAAAGAGGTATGGGAATAAATATTTGAGGACGTCTTCCTTCGTAGTTGAGGAAATTGTCTGTATGCTCACTAGGAACTTCTTTCAAAGCAAAGAGCTCAGGCCCCAGGGTGGCTTTCCCTCTGCCGGATGGGCAGGTTATGTTCTCACCTGGGAGGGGACAATAGACTAGACGTAATGCTGTCCTTTCCCACCCATGATGGACCAGCCAGTTTCCCAGGCCACTTTCCCTTGGTGTTTCATCAGAGGCGCTCCTATTGTCTACCCACCTGCCCAGGTCTTAGAAAATACTGGGCCTGCTCTGGCGCGTGTCCAGGGGGCTTCTCTCCATCACACCAAGGCCTGGTGCAGAGGGAGGAGTCCCCTATTCACCATACACCACCCTGTTCTCTGGATGAAAAGTGGTACATCTAAGAAAACTTGAGCACTTCTGCTCATTTCAGAAGAATACTAATATTGCTCCCCAGAAGGAAAGCTAAGGAACCTGTTGACTTAAACTTTAAAATTCAGAAACCAGAGTTTGTCAGCTAGCATTATATGCATATAACGCATCCCCTTTAGCCAGCTGAAATGATTCCCAACTCAGGCAAAAAGAGGAATCAAATCAATAGCATCATTAGAAATTTCTAGTTCCATGTTATTACAAGCTGTTTTATGAAATTAATCTACATATTAATCAACTGACTTTAAATATTAAATGAAATGGAAACATTTATTGCGACTGAAGAAAAATATCTTGTAATATAATTTTATTTTTCTGTTGTGCATTCTTTGTAGATGTGTGTCACCACTACTGTGTGAATTCTGAATCCTGTACTATTGGGAATGACGGAAGCGTTGACTGTGTCTGTCCAACACGCTATGAAGGACCAAAATGTGAGGTTGACAAATGTATAAGATGCCACGGCGGGCACTGTGTTATAAATAAAGACAGTGATGATATATCTTGCAAGTAAGTGGACATCAATTAATTATTAAAGTATTTTAACCCAAAGGATTTAGCAGTCCAGCAAAAAAAACTGTAAAAAACAATGTAAATTATTTTTATTCTAAAATATGGTGACTATTGCATCCTTGTGTTTTTGTGAGGATTTTTTGCTGAAGATAAAGTTCAGTTCATTTAAATTAAATCCAAATTATTCAACACCTGTTATGCACATCGTGTGAACATGAATATTAATCATGTAATGATATGGTCAGATCATTCCCTATATAGAATATTTATAATAGTAAGCAAGAAATAATGAAATGCAACATACCTTCAGAAAGCTATATGTAATATTCCTAAATTAGGATAGCTCAGGCTTTTAATTGTTTCATTATTATTCTCTACAGTGAGTATTGGCTCTCTATTGTCACAAAACTATCCTTTAGGGGGAGAAGCAAAGGGCCTGTCTAATGGAAACAAACGTTACGTGTTTTTTTGTTTTTGTTGTTTTGTTTTGTTTGTTGTTGTTTTTTTTTACTTTGAACATAAAAATAAGGAAAAGGAATAATGTTTCCTGGGGAGCAACTAAAACAAAAATGTCCAGGTTATACTTTGGTTACATTATCTTTTGCCCTTTGGCTTCAAGGTCAAGTGAATGGAAAAGAGATCATCACAGCTAAAGGGTAATGTCATTCAGTCTCTTCATGAAACGAGTTTATGCCACTGAGGTTAGAGGTCAATCCTCACTCCAAACTTCTTTCAACCACCTTTTAAAAGGAGAACTTATAAAGCACTGGACTCTACCATTTGCCTTGCTTAGGAGCTAATAAATGATGATATGAGACAGAGAAACAGTCCGTGAGTGTTCCTGCCACAGCTCCCACCGCCACAGCTGTGCGAGGGCGCCAGCCCTGAATTACAGTGCTCTGCCAAACAAGGCCCATAAAACTTTATTACCTACAGCATCAACATTTTTCTCTTTTATTTACTCTCATTTTAGAATTTACTCTAAATATGATTTGTGTTATGATTATGAATGTCATTTACGCAAACCCTCTAATTGGTTCGTGTGAAAGTACCTTATTTTTTCTTTAAAGTAATTGAAAATATGACTAATTACAAATATGTGCCTTTGGTAAGTACATAAAAACAAAATGCATTTTCATATAAACTGCCAAAATCGTGTTTACTTATTAAGCCCGTCAGTTCTTTGTGATGAGACTTTAGCCTGCCAGAGCTCTAGTTCAGGGGAAGTGCCAGGAGAGGAAGGGAGGGCGGGACTCTAGGGCATCAGTGCTGCCTGCTCTACAGGGAACTTGGCTCTGCCGACCTAAACACATGAGCCTTATAACTCGAGTAGGCTATTGAGGTTCAACATATAGCTCCTAACTCTTAAAAGATCTTTTTTCAGAAAAATATATGTAAAAATAGGTAAATAATAGTTGGTAACAATGAGTAGATAGTGGAAGTTTACAAGTAGTAGTTTAATACTTGATTTACTAGATAGGCCATAAAACGTGCATGCCAAACAGGACTCCGGGTATGCTGAAATTTATTAGACAAGTTTGTTTTCATTTCTAGGATATGCTTTAACTTAGCAGTGAATGAAGTTACAGTGATATTGGGATTTGTTTCAGATGCAAAGAACTGATACTAAAACAGAAGCACAAACGAGTTAACGTAAATCTTTTAAGCAGGGAAATTCCAGCTGCTATGTATGCTTGTGATTCCTAATAGGTGTGTTTCTAATGTGTAGCCTATGAACTGTCATTTAGAATAGATACTCTGTCAGGTATAATGAGCATAGAGATAACATGGAGCTAATTGAATATTTTTTTTCTCCTCTGTAAATCTAAGTAAATGTTGATGAAGAAAGATTTTATCATAATATTTAGTAGTCTACACAATGCCTTTGATGTTGAATGCTATGGTATTATTTTCGTCTACTGGATAACTATTAATTAACTTTTGGAAAATGATGTATCACAAACTGTGCATGTGTGTGAGACATATGTCTGTAATAAACAAAATTATGATAAAAACTAGCATTAGAAATGTGAACTAGCCCTAGCCAGTTTGACTCAGTGGATAGAGCATCGGCCTATGGACCAAAGGTCTCAGGTTCCATTCTGGTCAAGGACAAGTACCTTGGTTGCAGGCTCCTCCCTGGCCCAGGCCCTGGTTGGGGTGTATTCAGGACACAATCGATCT